GCAACCCACATCTCTCCCCCGGCCTCCCCTCTCTGTTTGAGAACTTGGAAATCAGCGTGTTGGGTTGTGGGTCGCCACCAGTATGTGGGTTCTGGGTGAGGTCTGAGAGGTTCTCCTATGAGGAGATAACAGTTTTTATTTTATTTTTATTTTTATTTTTATTTTTTTAAAGGTTTTATTTATTTATTTGACAGAGAGAGACACAGCGAAAGAGGGAACACAAGCGGGGGAGTAGGAGAGGGAGAAGCAGGCTTCCCATGGAGCAGGGAGCCCGATGCGGGACTCGATCCAGGGACTCCAGGATCATGACCTGAGCCGAAGGCAGTCGCTTAACCAACTGAGCCACCCAGGCGCCCCCCGAGATAACAGTTTTTAATGCATCACTGCCAATGATGTTCATTTTGGTCTCTCAGAACGTTTTCTTCTCTTTTGTTCTGGGCTTCCTCACTGTCCTTGATAACGAATCTGCTGGAATCCCGAGTTCATGTTAGGCAAGACAATACCATCTATGCCCGCTGGTGGGGCGGATAAGACCTCTGTGTGTGAAAGTTGAGTAAATGAGGTCATGTATGTGGCACCACTCTGTCAGCTGTAACATCCGATACCCGTGGTCCTGACAGAAATTCTGCTGTGAGAGAGACGGCTCTGGGCTCAAGAGAGAAGTTCAGGGAGTGGCTGGTGTGAGAACCCAGAGATGAGACAGATACTCACAAGCAAAGCCTCAAATGGCAGCGTGGTTAAGAGCAAGGGCTGCCCGGGATCCCATCCGAGTTTGCTACTTGCTGTGTGTGTCAACTTGGGCAATTTACTTAATCACTTTGTTCTTCAATGTCCTACTCTGCAACATGGAGGTTAAAATGTTGTTGCAAGGGCTCAATGAGTTATATGGAAATCCTTTACAATGGGCCAGGCACTATTCTAAATGATCAATAAAGACGACTATGATCATTAACCCCGGTGGTCAGAGAAGGCTGCAAGGAGGAGGTGGGACTTGGCTAGATCTTGAATGAGGACTAAGTGAGATTTGTGGAAGGAATAGGCGGGGCTTTCCCTCCAGGAAAACAGCCTAAACTCGCTGTCTAGGAGATGTGAGTCGGGTGTGTGGGGGGCGGGTGAGGAGACCAACATGGTTGAGCTTTGGGGGAGATAAGATCAGAACTACAGAGTCAGGTCAGCTTCTAAAAGTCTTGACTTCTGGCCAAGAATGCAGGCCACGGGAAGTTTTAAAGCCAGACAGATTTGGGTTTAGATTTTGACTCTGTCCCTCACCGGCAGTGTGACACAGGACAAGTTTCTCGCACTTTATGAGGCTTAGTTTCCCCATGTCTACGAGAGAGTGATGGCAGCATCCACTGACGAGGTAGTAGTGACAAGGGATGGAAACAATGCATGGAAAGAGCCAGGCACACTCCAAGTACTCAGTATGTGAGAAGTGTTTTTGATTATTCATTCAACAAACATAGGCATGCCTTTTTCTGAGCCAGGAACTGTGCAAGCAGCTGGAGGTAGAGATGAATGAGACATTGTCCTTGCTCTTGGATATCACACAGTCCAGCCAGGAAGCAGACATGGAAATGCAATTCGCGTTGGAGATACAATAAAGTGAAACAATGATACAATGTACATATTGAGAGCGGGCACAGAGGAGGGGCGGGTAGCCCTGCCTGGGAGGCCAGTTGGGAACACAAACAGAGGTATACTGACCTGGTCTTAAAACAAGAGCTGGCTTTCTCAGGGAGCGGAGGGTGGGAGGAGTGGAAATAGGGAAGGGTGTTTCAAGCCAAGGGAACGGTATTTGCAGAAACGTGGGCCATTAGGGAAATGGACAGCAGTTGGGTGTGGCTGGAGCCTGGATTGTTTTAGGAAAGGAGGTTGGAGGGAGGCATGGCCAAATTTCCAGTGGACTTGCTTGAGAAGATCGGACCGTATCCTGGAGGAGTATTCTGGAAAGTCTTGAAGGGTTTTAAGCAGGGTCGTGACTTGGTTGGACCACTTTGGTGGTGTGTGGACTCAGAATTGCAGGGGAAAAGACTGGCTGTAGGGGGAGATCATTAAAGAGGCTTATTCATGTTCCAGGGAGAGGATCTGAGGACGGTCTGGCTTTGGGGCCGTGGTGGGGGAGGGGTGGACGGATGAAAAGCATTTCTAGGAGTTTTGTTTAGTTTTTAGGGTTTTAGAAGGTGGAGCTGACAGGATCTGGTGATTGGTATGAAAAAGAGTAAGGCTGATTTCTGGATGCCTACCTTGACCAGGAAGAGCAGGCGGGAGGAGAGGGAAGGGTTAGGAGGTCCATCTCGGGCATGTTGAGGGTGAGAAGCTCAGGTAGAGTTTCTCTGAAGGCAGGTGGATACATAGGTTGAGAACACGGAAGAGAAGTTTGAACCACTGAAAAGTTCTGAGCGTGTGTGCACATGAGTCTGTGTGTGCACATGAGTGTGTGTGTGTGTGTGTGTGTGTTGCTCGCATTAGTATTTTGTCATGTACATCTGGCACCTGTGCGAAGAGAGCTTGGTTGGGGATGAGCAGGGAGAACAACCAGGGGGAGGCTCTTGCAGGAAACCAGAGGTGAAGGGTGGGGGTGTGGGCTAGGAGTCCAGTGGTCAAAGTCAGAGGTGATTTTGTGCTGCCGGGCAAGTTTCCTTCCCTGCCCACAGGAAGTAGGTAATACCACCAAGCTCATGACGTTGCTGGGAGGGTCATGCGTGAGACGCCTGTTGAGGGTCGGTAGGGTGCTGGCCACTTGGCTAACTAAAGGCTCCTTGAGCCTGGCAGGGTGGGGGGTACCTCGTGGGTGCTCAAGAAGTGTGGGTTGAAAGCAGTGCCCTTGCCCAATGCAGGGCAATGGGTCCTTGGTTGCGGGCGTGGAGATTAGCATGGCTTTAGTGGTGGAGTTTGGATGTCAGGGAAGCTGTCTGAGTAATTGCTGAGCAGACAGATAGGGATACACAACTGGTACCCGGGGAAGGGAAGAGGTTCAGTCTACAAACACAGGTCGGGGATTCCTTAAGCCACGGAAGTGAGCTATCGCCAAGGAGAGCACGGAGAAGGAAGGAGTGTGGAGGGCATAGGACCGAGCCTGGAGGGGTCCGTGATGGCAGGTGTGGGACACAGGTGAATCAGCAGAAAGCAAAGAGCAGCAGAGAAGGAGAGGTCAGTGAGTCTCTAGGAGCTGTGTCTCGGAAGCCAGGAGAGGGAAGGCTCATGCAGCCAGCAAATCAAGCTTGCTTGTGGCGCCTTCCTGAGTATAGCGTGGCCCACGTTTGTGGCAGGTGGGAATACTTTTGGAAATACCAGCCATGTTGGATTATTTAGAAATCACCATGTCTGTTTGTTTGTACGGGTGCTGGAGAGATGATTGTGCTGACTGACCAGGGCCTTTGCACACTGGGGCCAAAGAGGTCCTGACGTGAGGCTCCTCGTGAGAGCCCAGGGGTTTTCCTGAGGGCCCCTTTCTAGTCCGCATAGCAACCCTTGCCCTAAATGCAATGCGATTCAGTTTATTTAAGAACATCCTTGTAGACACAGCTTTGGGGGCTGCAGGTAATAGGTAAAGGCTTGTGTGAAATGCAGATAGATGATCGACAGAAAGAAAGGGGGCTGTGTTCATCGCAGGGCAGGAGTCTTCAGCTGGCCGAGGGAGAGTGGGGTGTGGTGGTGGTGTATGCATCTAATATTAGGTATTAGATCACTATGTGGGTATTGATTCTGCATTCAGCCTGTGTGTGTGTATTAAGGAGGTGGGATAAGGTCTGATAAATGACAGTGTGTGTGTTTCTGGAGTAGAGCTAACCCCCTAAGAGCCCCTGAGTAAATAACACAAAATGATGCTGGAGGTAGAGACAGTGCGGGCACGTGGGCGTGAGTGTGCGCCAAACGGCTGTTTGTGTGTATATGTGTGTATCCTGGGGCCTGCAGGCCCATGTGCGTGTGCGTGCATGTGCATGCGTGTGCGTGTTTCCCCATCGGGTCTGTGCGTTTGTAGGTTGCGCTGTTTCTCTGCCCCCCTGTCTGCTTCCTCTAAAGTCTCCCAGTAGGTGGGCGCGTGAGAAATGTTCGGGGAAGGGGGTGACCCGGCCCTCTCCCAGGGCAGACCAGAGCCTGGCCTGCTTGGGTTGTTGTAGCTTCTTTGAAGGAACTGTCTCCATCCTCTCTTGACCCACTGGGGTCAAGACCCATTGAGGTCAAGACCCAGGCCCAGGCCTAGCCCCGCCTAGGGGAGGCCTGGCTACCCAAAGGCTGTGGTGGGACTTAGGGGTGGGCCCAGTGTGGCCACTGCAGCTGGGGGGCAGCGCTCCGCCTCCCCCAACTGCTTGTCCTAGAATCACAGAACCAGAGCCAGAAGGGCCTGGGAAACATTCGAGTCTGCCTGTCTCATTTTTACAGAGGAGTGACTGGTGGCTCAGAGAGGTTAAGTGACTGGGACGGGATGCGAGTCACATGGCACTTTGAGGCAGAACTGTGCTTTCTGACCTTCTGGCCGCATTTGGATGGCTTTTCTCCCCTGGGGGCCGGGAGGGGGCGGTGGTTGCGTCTGTGTGTGCAAAAGCTTCGAGTGTGGGTTGCGTGAGAGATGACATGTGTCTCCGGACCGCTGAGCGCCTATGTGTGTCAGTGTGTCTCCAAGTGTGAGTGTGTCTCGGGTAAGCCCTGTGTGAGCGTGTCCCCATCTGTCTCCGAGGCACCGTGGAATGCCGGGGAGGAGCGTGCCTGGGAGAGCCAACCCTGCCTGCCTGCCACTCCCGGCTCTGCCTCCAGTTCTCCGTGTGACCTTGAGGGTCACTTCCCTACCCTGGGCCTCAGTTTCCTGAAATGTAACATGAGACGGGGGGCCTCCTGGACTGTGTGACCCTGTGTGTGCGGCCTTGACTCAGGTGGCCGCCTGGCCTGGGTGGGCTCAGGGACCTTGAGCTCACCCCCTGGGAACCTGTCCTTGGTACGTGCACTAACCAGCCCTCCTTTCCTCTCTCTCTCTGCCTTGCCCTTTCCTGAACCTTGCTGGCCTGCAGAGGAGCACCCCATGGAAGGTGAGTGATGCTTTTTTGTCATTGGGGTGGTAGATCAATCACCACGGGGTCCTATGTGAGGGGGTGTCATTGGCCACCTAAGGGCTCCCTCTCCTGCCCATGCTTGGGGGCCCCCTAGGGAAGGATATCTGGGGGTCCTCTTGGCTGCCTTGGCCCCACCTCTCGCCTGTTCCCTCCTTATTGGTTTGCTGGGGAGATCTGGCGGGCAGAGGGCAGGCCTTTCCACGGGCCAGTCTGCCGCCTGGCATGTCCTCTTCTTTAGGGAGGAGACCAGAGTGAGGGTGAAGGGATGGGGCTGGAGGATCTGAAGTGCCCGGAAGTGAGTGAGGAGACACCCTTTGGCCCAGCGCGGTGGAGGGAGCTTAAGAGGGCCATGCAGCCGGGGGCTGGGGGCTGCTTGGGTGAATCCGCTCTGGGTCTGAAGGATGCAGGCAGAGGGTGAGGGGGCCATGTCCCCGGGTCCTTGGGTGTAGGTGGGTGGCAGCTTCTCTGCTCTGACTGACACGTGCGCTGGGAGGTAGGGGCCGTCTGCTTCTTCTTTGGGCCCTGGCTGAGGGCCAGCGTTAGGGCAGGAACCTGCCTCTCTTTGGAGTCCCTCTGTCCATTCCTTCCCGGTCTTCTGTTTCATCTGCCTTCTCTCTCTCTCTCTGGTTTCTGTCTTTACCTTTCTTTTTCTCCAGGGCTCTGTCTCTGGACCTTTTTCTGTCTCTGTCTTTCCCCAGGCTCTCTCTGGGCTCCTGTCATTCTCCGAACCTTCCCCTCTCGCTTTGGTGTGCCCTGCTCCTTTTCTTCCTCTGGGGCTGGACGAGGTCGGGGAGATGGGAAAACTGGGAAGACTCGGTGGGCTGGTCCACGCGTGGAGGCTGGGCTGCAGGGGAGCTCATGCAGCCACTGGGGAGAAGGCAGGCAGCAAGGTGGGCGGGAGGTGGGATCCCATCCCCAAACCTGTCCCATGTTCTTTTCCTGGAGAAGCAAGAAGAGGGTAGTAGGAGTGGGAGGGATGCAGCAACTCTAGGCTGGGAGCTCCCTGGGCCTGGGCCCTGGCATGAGAGGGGCAGGGGACAGCACCCAGGGTTAGGGAGTCCTGGGTGAGAAAGAAGGGGAGGGCTTTTGGCTGGAGTATGGGCTGGAATCCATTTTTCCTTGTGGTGTCTGTGGTTTGGCTTGTCTCTTACTGATGTCTCTTCTCCTTGGGTGGCTTCAGTTCCCCTGGTCCTGGCGGGCGGGCACCCATCCGTGTGTGTGTGTGAGAGAGAGAGAGAGTGTGTATCCGTGTGCACATGTGTTCCTCGGGCTCAGTGGCTCGGTTGTGTCTGTGTGCCTTTGTGCACGTCTGTACCTCTGAGCTTGTGTGCTCGTGCCTGAGTGTGTGTGCAGGTGCGTGCACGTCTGTCCTCGTGTCTTCTGTGGCATGGCCACATCTCTGTGTGCCTCTGTAGGAGTGCCTGCATCTGAGTCTGCATCTCTGTGTGTCAGTGTTTACCTCTGTGTGCGTGAGAGAGTCTGTGTGTCTGCGTGGACGCAGCCTTCTGAGGGCTGGAGATAAGATTTAGTGCTGATGTGACTTTTACTTGCTCTTGATGTCATGTCTCCTCTGGAACAAAGGGAGAGATGGAGGGAGGGAGAGGGGAGGGGAATGGGCCCCAAGGGAGAGGCTCATGGCGAGGCAGAAGGGGGCAGAGAGATGGGAGGAAGGAGGGGGGTAAGTAGAGGCAGGAGGAAGAAGTGGAGGGCGGGACAGAAAGGAGGGAAATCAGGGAGGGGAAAGAGCCAGGCCACAGAAGAAAGCAGGAGGGCTGTTGGGGGGAGGTGACTGAGCCAGGAGGGGAGAGGAGAGGGACCATCAGTGCTTTCCCAAGCAAGCAGGGTAGCCGGGGACAAGAAGGGGAGCCGGCTTGGGGACACGTGGGGAATGAGCCCCTCTGGACACCACTGAGCCATTTCTTGGGGGTGGCGTGGTAGCCGGCTGGTTTGGAGGGGGCAGTGCCTGGGCCTGCGTGTTGGTGTGTGTGTGTAACACACCCAGGGGTGAGACACATCTGTGCGTCTCTCTGTGAGGTGCCTGCTTGTGTGTCTGTCAATCTTGTCTCCTGTTGCCAACTTCCTTCTTTCGGTGCTGGTCCTTTTGGGCTTCTGGTAGAAGGGCAGGGACTGAGACTGGGAGTGGTTTCCGGGGGGGCGGTGGCTGGGGCCTCCTCTGTGGCACAATGCTCTGGACTCTGCAGTTGAGATCTTGGAGTCTTCCGTGCCGCCTTCACCCTCTTTTCCCGACCCTCAATGCTGTGCCTCAGGCCTAGCTTTCTCCCAGGAACCCGGCCATCCTGCTCCCTAGCCCCTGACAACATCTCCTTTTGGGGATTCTGGTTGCCCCTCCTCCTTTCTCCCTAGCCTCTTGTAGCAGGGAGAGAAGACCCAGAAGCAGCCAGATAAAGTGCCCGAGGAAAGGACCCTTGGTAATGCCATCCGTCACTGCCAACCTCTTCTCCAGGGGGTGGGAGGAGGGGCCGATGCCACAGGTGGACGTGGGGAGGGCTTCCCCAGGCTGGCTGGGCAGGAGGAAGGAGCAGAGATTTCAGGCCTGGGGGATGGGGGTGGGGCGTGGGGTGGGGCGTAGTCTTTAGGGGGCGCACCTGCAGGCCAGACTGACCTGAGCCATGGGAAGACAGGGCAGGGAACCGTCCTCCCCTTCACCAAGATGGCTGGTGCTGTCACGCCTGAGGGAGCTGAGCAGCTGGTTGCCGTGGTGACAGAGGGAGAGTGCCGCATGCTAATGAGGCTGCCTGGGAGCTGGGCAGCGGAAGGGTCTGCGAGGGGAGAGATTTGGCTCCGTCCCTACCCCACGCAACGTCCGTACCCCACGCAGCCGCTCAGGCCTTGCGGGGACAGAGTGCCAGTCCTAGGGCCTCCAGCTCCTGGGCCTGGATTTCCAAGGCTGGAGCCTACAGGCGGGGCTATTTCTGCCTGGAAGAGTTGGGTGAAGGTTTAGGGCTCTAGGTCTGGCTCCTGGATTTAGAAGGTTTGGAAGATGCTGGTAGACCTTGGGGAAAGTTTGTGGGGGACATTCAGAGCAAAGAGTAAGACTCAGTCCAAATGCTTGGTCCTCCCCTGTTTTATGGATGAAACCTTTGTCTTCCCAAGAGCTGTTCGATCCTGATGCAGCTGCCGTCCCCTCCCCCAACTGGCCTGAGCCACAGAGGTGGGAGACGCATGCCTTTCCCCCAAGAGAGGAGAAGGGGGCGAGGTGAACTGCTGCCCACATCTTCCACAGGGTCCAGGCCTTTGGCCCCTGGCCACTCCCTTCCTGACCTCCCGGAGCACAGGCATCCTGGCCTCTGCTTTGTCTCAGAGGCACCTGGAGTCCTTTATCTTGATAATCCTACTCTGGCCAGGCTTTTTGTCCCTAGGGCCACCCTCTCATTGCCACGGCACTGGGATGGTTTCCAAGGGCTGTTCCTTGCCCACGTTTTTGGCTAGAGACCTGGGATGCAGGGTGGGGGGAGAGGGAGGGCCTGGCTGGTCATGTCAGGGAGCCCTGGGACCTCAGCTTCGCTGGGGACCTGGTGCGGCCAGCCTCTCTGGGGGAGGGCCTTCTGTGGCTGGTGTTCTCTGGGGACTAGGGTGCTGGTCCACTGGGCCAGAGTCTTTCCCCCTAAGGTTTAGGAAGGCATGGGTCAGGACTGACGAGGCTTTTTCAAGGGGCCGAGGTAACCCTGGAAAAAAAATCCCAGCCCGTCATGCCCTGAGTCTTGGAGATAGGACTTCTGTTTTCCATTTTCAAAATTCAGCTTTTGGCTCATCTCAGAGAGGGCCGGACCAGAGAAAGGGGGTCTGTAGAGAACTTCTGACCTCTCAGAGAGCCAGACCTCTTGCCCACAGGCCTTGGCCGTCCTCTTTGGTTCTTGCTGTCCCAGAGTGTGGGCCCTAGTCTCCTAGTCCTCCTTGTGGAAGGATCCAAGCTCAGGATCTCTGCTCCAGCATTTCCCATCCTCCTATCTGCTTGTGCTCTAACTTTGTCCTCCCGAGAGCCCCGCTTTCCTCATAGAATCCAGGAGCTCGGCAATCCGTATGGAGGTTGTTGGGGAGGTGGGCAGCTGGGAGGACTGGGGCTGGACAGATGCCTTTCCAAAGCCCACTTTGGTGGGAGATTCCTTCTAGGCCCAGGCCCCACACACCCCCCTCCACCTTCTCTGCCAGCCTCACAGGGGTGAGGGCGGGGGTGGGGTGGGGTCAGAGGTCCCCCCTGTCCACTTAATCCTGCGCTAACAGGACACTCTCTCTCTCTCCAGGTGGCTTTGATTTTTGTGTCGTGTTTTATTTTCTCCTCCATCCGAATCGTTTTTTCTCGTTGACTGTTTTTTTTTCTCTCCGCCTCCCGGAAGAAAAAAAAAAGAAAAAAAGAAAAAGGAAAAAGCAGCCCTCCCAGCCTCATGCTTCTCCTCCTTTTCCTTTTTTTTTTTCCGGCAAGAAGAAAAAAAAGAAACCAAAATCTCCTCTCTCCCCTTGCAGTGACTCCCTGCCCCAACCCTTCCTCTGGTTCTGCCTGTACCCCCTCACCCCCTCTCGTACCCCCCCTCACTCTCTCTCTCTCTGTCCCCCCCTCGTGCCCTCCACCCTGTTTCCGGCATCGGGGCCCCTCTCCTCAGCTTCCGGGGCTGGGGGCTTTCCCCTCGATGCCTGTCACAAGTTAAAAAGGGTTTTTAAATTGTGGCAGCAAAAGCTTTTTTCTCCCCTCTCTCTGGCTGATTTTGATGACTCGTGTTTTCTTTGTTTCTTTCCCCTTTTCTTTCTTTTTTCTCCTTTTTTTTTTTTCCCTTTCTTTCTTTCTCCCCTTCCCCTTTCCAAGGTCCGGCTCACCTGACGTTAAACAGCGAAGGTATGGTTTGAAGTTCTGGTTTGGATTGGATTGGATTGGATTGCCCCCAACCTGCAACTGGATTTTCTGTTCCTCTCCCTGCCCCCTCTCCCTGCCTCCTCCTGTCCCACTGCCTTCCTGTCCTTCCTGCCCTTCCTGCCCTTCCTGCCCGCTGCCTCTGTTGTCTCTCCGTGTTCTGGGACTGGGGTGCTGGGATGGGGGCGGGGCCGGCCCCCAGTCTGTGTTCTCCCCTCCCCCACCCTCCCTGCTGCGCTCCATCCGCGCTCATGTCACCTTGGTTTCTGACATCAAGAGATGTTGCAACTCCTGCCGCTGTCTCCAAGTCACCCTTTTGCGTTTTCCTGGTAGTGTATCTTCTTTTCCCCTTCTCATGGTGGTGTTTTATTTCCTTCCACTCATTCTGATCATTCTTTCTTTTCTGTGGACCCAAGTACAAAGAGAAAAGCATGGGCTGGAGGAAGAGGCTTCTAGGCAGCCTCGCAACGCTGCCCCTGCTGCTGCGGGGTGTCCCCTCTGTCCACAGCGGCAGCGAAGCAGGGAGAGGCAGGGGATTGGGGTGCAGGATGCCCCCTTTGCACAGCTGTCCCACCATCTGCCCTCACCAACATCTCTTGACCCTGTTTGACAGATGAGGACATTCAGGCCCAGAGAGATGAGGTGACTCGTTAGTGATTATATGGCCTTTAGTCGGTGGTACCATTGGGGCTGCTTCTCTATTTTTAGCCTCCCTTCAACCAAGTCCCTACCATCTTTAAAAGCCCGGTGTTGAGCAAACCTGACAGCCCAGGGATCCTGACTGTGATCCCCCCCAGCGCTGAGCTCTCCCTGGTCTCTGCATCCCTGATTCTTGAGCTCAGGTATTCTGGACCCTTAGGCACTGCTCCCCAAGCCCAGGGTGGTCCTCTATCAGGGCTCATCTTCTGTAGAGGGGGGTCTTTAGTCTATAGGCAGGAGAGGCCTAGAGGACGAAGACTGGGCTGTGGGGAGAGATTCAGATCTGGAATTTGGGATGCATTTAAGTCTGGGAAGGTAGGGGCCTGGGATTCTTGCAGGGTTGTGAAATCATGGCAAAAACTGTGGGGAAAGGAGGCGTCCCGAGGGGGTGGTCAGGCCAGGGTTGGTTCACTCACCTCCTTCTTGCCTCTCAATGCCTGGTTCTGGGGCTGTTGGCGGTGGCACACCTTTGTCATAGATGAAGACCCAAAGGATCCAGAGCCCCGCTTCCCCCCTCCCCTGAAAGGTCCACAGCTCAGGTGTGATTCTAGCTTCACTTGTGGGGATTTGGGATTGAGGTGGAATAAGGGCCCAGACACGGACGTTTAAACTCCATTCTCAAGCCATCCTGTGGGGCCTGGCAATAGGTGTGGGGGCCCGGGAGCCAGGCACTGAGTGCACGAGTCACTGTCGTGGGTGGGGGGTGTGGAGAGCTCAAGCCAGCCTGGAACCCAGTGTGATAACATGTGTCTGCGGGGGCTTTGGAGAGGAGGCCTGAGGGTTGATGAGCTGCATGGGGGGGCGGGGGGAGGTGGGAAGTGGGAAGTCAGCCCTGAGAAAGGCCTTCCCTACATACATGACGAGCTCCAGTCAGGCAGAACCTCTCTTGGTGTGCATAGCCCTGCTGAAGGCACGAGGAACAGACACAAACCATGGCCCTGGCCCTGGGAAGCCCCATGATCTGATCTAATTGGGAAAGCAGGGGACAGAGGTGACAGTAAGAACGCTCACTACTAAGTGAGCCAGATGTAGATGGAGAATCAGGTTTGCCTTGAGGACAGGCCAAGAACACAAGAGGCCTTTGGTGTGTGAATCAGGAAGGTCTGGGAGGAGGGGTGCCTTTGTCAGGCTTTTGGAGGAATTGAAAAGCATGAACTCCCGCCCTGCAGAGAAAGTGCAAGAAGATGCAGAGTGGAGAGGAGAGTGAGCTGAGAATCTGGAAGTAGAAGCTTAGGGGCCTGCAGGTCCCCAGGGCTGGCCTATTTGCATGTTCTTGGGAAGGAGGAGCTCCTGAACCAGCAGGGAGCCCCTTGCTCCTCCCCGCAGTCTCCCCACCCCTGGGCCGAGGGCAGAAGTTGGTGGCTGTGAGTGTCACAGGGTCTGTGGGCCTGTTGGGTTTGTCATCTGGCTCCTTCCCCAGAGGCCCCGAAGCAAGTGAGTCCCCAGAATAGCACCCCCGTGCCCCACCTGTACCTCCAAGCAGGACCTCTACCCTGGAGAGGGCCTTCCATCACCTCAAGGCTGGGGTGGGACTGCCTGGGTAACCCCCTGTGCCTGACCCCCCAATTCTGCTTCTCCAGTAGGGTCCTTACTGTTCTCCGAGGGGGGGGCCGGGAGAGGAGGAGCCGGCGATGTGCACCAGCCAACGAAAGGTCAGTGACCCCACGGTCCCCAGAGAGCCCAGCCCTCACCCCTTGCAGGCTAAATGCACTTCCTTGGAGGGGGGCAGCTGAGTCAACAAAGGTGTGCCCCTTTGTCCCCACTCTGAGGTCCATGGCCTGCATCCCTGGGACCTGCCCTGGTGTGAAGGGCCACAGACTTCCATTTCTTTCCCAAATCTCAGTTGTCCTAATGACCTTTTTCTAGAACACAGATGACTTTTGGTGGCAGATGTTCAGGCCTGTCTTTAGAAAGTATCTGGGAAGCAGGGTAAAGAAGCGGGGTACCTCCCCCATTTAACCATCAAATTCTGGAAGCCTGCTAGGTACCAGCAGCCTGGGGGGATTCTGGTTAGGAGATGAGGCCTTTATAATAGGTATGCATCTCCTAAATGAGCCTTCACCACCCTTTGTGGAAGGTCTCATTGCCCTGGGTTTACAGATGGGGAAACTGATGCTTGCCTGAGCCCCCGCGGCTGGCTTTCAGTCCGTCTCAGGGCTGTGTAGGTTCTCAGCGACCTTTTCTGCACTCAGACTGCTTCTCTTAAGAGAATCTCTTTCCTAAGGAGTTCAGGGGGGCAGTTTGGCAACCTTCAAGGAGCTCAGTGGGTGCCAAGCCCTGGGGCTATTGCATCCCGAGTCCCGTCTTTGCTCCCTAGTACGTGCTGGGCTGTTGGCTTGGCTTTCCACCATCCCTGCCTTCTTCCCGACTATTCGGTGTCTCTCTCAGCCCACTCTTGAGAAAGTGGCCGGGCCCTCTACCCCGGAAGTCTCCCCGGAACTCTGCAAGCAAACGCACACGCTGCTCGCTGTCGCATTTGTCTATGCGTCGATTTTCTCTCTCGCCGTTATCCTGCATCATTACTGTCACTCTCCTGTTTGCCTCCTCCTCCCCCCAGACCGAGCCCCCTGAGGGCCGGGGTGGGCTGTTGTCGTTTGTGCTCCCCCAGTGCTTTTCACAGCTCCTGGCACTTCTGCGGGCACGTGCTCGGCAACTTTATTTTAAATGGGTGAATGGTCTCTGTTCTCAAGGGGCTCATTGACATTCTAACAAATAACTACAAGAAAGCGTGGTCCATGCAAAGTGTATGAAAAGTGCAGACTTTGTCCAAGAGGAGTTAACTTATTCATTCATTTAGAGAGAGAGACAGCACGCACACACACACACACACACACACACACAAAGTTACACACCAGTGCAAGAGTCATTTATTAGCGGCATAGTTTACAGTTTACGAAGCTCCATCCCATCTGTTCTCCTTCTAGATGGCACAGCAACCTGTGAGGTAGGTCAACGGTCAGCCCCTTTGTCCAGAGGAGAAAGCTGGGGCTTAGAGATTTGCCTCTTGGTCAAGGTCACCAAGCCGGTGGAAGAGCCAGCATTAGTGCCCAGGTCTTCTTTCTCACATCACACTTCCTCTCCAGGGAGCAGTACAAGATGTTACTAGGCAGTAAGTGCCAAATGAGCAGAACAGACAGCTGGAGTGCTTGAGAGTAGGGAGGGGCGACGGAGGACTGGAGACCTTCCCAGAGGAGGGCTTTGAGCTGGGCCCGGAAAGGAGGCCACTGCTCTGTCCCTCACGGCTCTGTGACAAGTGGTCTCTAGCCACGTTCAGCTTGACTGGGGGCACTTGTGGGGCTCCCCACTCCCTGACCACAGGA